AGAAAGGGGACTACAAACTATTCAAAAAGGCCCTGCTACGTGAGTTTGGGCTGACTCCTGAGATGTACTGACTCCTGAGTCAGTATAAAACCCCTGAGGTCTCATATCTGCAACTAGCCGTCCGCATGGAGGGATACGCCAGCAAGTGGGCAGATGAGGCCCAGACAAAGGAGGACTTGGTTAAACTGCTGGTACTGGAGCAACTGTATGAGCAGTGCCCATCCGACCTGAGGCTGTGGTTGAGGGACAAAAAGCCAGAGAACCTGCGACATGCAGGGCGGCTGGCCGATGGGTTTGTGAAGAACCAGTCAGGGGGTGGCAGGGAGAAGTCCCAAAGGAACAGGCCCGCCGCGATGCAGAGAGAGAGTCACCCTGGGACCTCCCAAAGGGGGAATATGGGGAATCCCCTCCCAAGGGGAACGCCCGGCATCAGGGACAACCGACCGGTTCAAGGGGACCAACGGGACATGAGCTGCTATTACTGTGGCCAAAGAGGCCACATTCGGGCCCAGTGCCCTAAGCTCAAGGACAGACTGAGCAGACTGAACCCACACCAGGTTAACTTGGTAGAGGCCCAGACGGACGAGGGGCAGGCTTCCCAGGCAAGGGGGGCTGTGAGCTTATCAACTGCTCAAGAGAGAGAAGGGCCCCAGGCCAGCTTCTCTGGGGGGCTGGATGCTCCGGACACCAAGTTCTCCGTTGACAGGGTGGGCACGGGGCTGTCCCTGCGGAGCGAGTGCCTTGTTCCCCTCGAGGTGGATGGGAGGAAAGTCTATGGATACTGGGACACGGGCGGCTGAGGTGACACTGGCCCGGCCCGAGGTGGTAGCTCCAGATCAGGTGATGCCCAACACCTTCCTGACCCTGACGTGGGTGGGCAGGACATCATTCAAGGTGCCCGTGGCGAGGGTACACCTAAAATGGGGGTCCAAGGAAGGCCCCAAGGACGTGGGAGTGCACCACCATTTGCTCACTGAGGTGTTGATGGGGCGGGGGGATCTAGAGGACTGGCCAAGTAACCCCCAGAACGCCTTAGTCGTGACCCGTAGCCAGAGCCGGCGAGAGGCACTACGCCCTGACTTCGGGCAGGAGGTCACAGTGGAGGCACAGAACCCTACCCTGATGGGGAGGGAACACCCAAGGCCAAGGCTCAGGGGGGCTATGGCTTCTGACCCAGCCGACGAGAGGGAGCAGGTCCCCATCCCTTCCTCAGCCGCTGAGTTGCAGAAAGACCACTCCTTGCGGAAGCCAAGGGACCTGGCTGACCTCGGTGCGGTACAGACCATGAGGAGAGCTTGCAAGGAGAAGAGGTTCCCATGCCAAGAATGGGCTCCCCCTGGGGAGATGGAGTCCTGGGGGATCAGGAGGCAGCTGGTGGTACCCCAAGCTACTGTACCTGGCCCATGACATCCCTCTCGCAGGGCACCAAGGGATCCGGCACACCAGGCAGAGGCTGCTTCAGAACTTTTACTGACCTGGGGTCTTCACCAATGTCCGACAGTACTGCCAATCCTGTGACCCCTGCCAGAAGGTGGGGAAGGCCCGAGACAAGGGGAAAGCGGCTTTGAGACCTTTGCCCATCATACAGGAGCCTTTCCAGAAGGTGGCCATGGACATAGTGGGACCTCTCAGCAAGACGACCTGGTCAGGGAAGAAATACATTCTGGTGGTGGTAGATTTCGCCACCTGCTACCCCGAGGCAGTGCCCTTATTGTCCATTGAAGCAGACACTGTGGCAGATGCGCTGCTGACCATTTTCAGCCGAGTGGGGTTCCCCAAGTAAGTCTTAACAAA